TCCTCACATTATCCAGTTATCCATGGTCAACAAGGATTGTATTGTATCAACTGGAACAACATATAGCATTCACTCGTGAAATCTACGTCAAGAATCTTCGGATACCCTATCTAACCAAGTGGAACTCAGGACTTTATCCACAGCAAACTGTAAAGGAAAGTCTGACTTTTTATTTTTGCAATACACATCTGTTTATCGTTGTTGTTTTGACAGTGCGTCGGTGGCAGAGTGGTTAGGATTTTCGCCGACCATGCACATGGACTGAGACACACCAAACAAAAAAGAACGAACAAAAACAGGCCGCGTGTGACCGGCCTCAAGCAGTTGTCCCCTGGGCTCTGCGGTCACGCAACCAACTTCCACGGTGTGGGCAGCCGGGAAGTAACAATCGCCCTCACAATCCGAAATGCACACGAAACCTCCAATCCGATGAACTTTGCGCCATAAAAGTTTCAGAGTGAACATTACGTCTACCATATAGTAAGACACTTGGAGGAATTAATATGATGAATTATACCCCATCCATAGGAAAAATAAAGGCTGTGTTCGAACAGTTTTAGGACTCTGCATAACAATACGTTACTTAAAAATACCACACTTCTCGGTAACACAAAAAGAAATAGACAGGCGAAGAATGACACCAGGGTAAACGAAAAGGATATCACAAGAATAGAAATTTTAAAAAGTCCAGACAAGTGAGACGCTTAACAATCTGATGATAAAAGGTCAACATTTGTGTTACGTATGCCTAGTCAGCGCCTTCCTCGACAGTATGCAATGTTAGCTGATATAGGGTCAGGCTGGAAAAGAGCTAGCGGCGGTCAAACAAAAACATGACAGCAGTCAATGAAATCCACAACGTAGGCAGATGTAGACTTCCTGGTTGGGGTCCTCGGGACGACATAAACCAATGGCTGGAAACAATTGGTGATATGGCTCAAAATCGTTCTCAATGGCCCAGATGCATCCACTCCTTGTGATTTATGATTTGCAATGAAACTATATTGTTCTTCGTTATTACTATTCCTTTGTCTCACACCTCTGTTTACTGTCTCTTTTATGCATTTCTTCTGTTGCTTTGTGTGCTACATGGAGTGTGGCGACTTGAACTGCCGCACATCGGTGCAGAGTTCTATGTCGAAAACAGACAAACAGACAGACAACATTTGTGTCTCTGTGATTGATTTGCAATCATATCACTTAGTCTCCAGTTACTCAGTTTTAACATGTCGAGGAATGAAGCAAAGCAACTTGCAATTATGTATACAATTCACCTTGATAATTAGAGAATTCACAGACTAGTGCTGTCTTTCTATGACTACCATTAACCTTTAAATTAATTCTTCTATAGCCGGTATTGCTAACTGGTGAAGGTTGTAGATCATCACATACAGAATATAACTCATTTCAGTCAGTGGAGATTCTTAACACAATCGGTAAATGGACTTCTTTTTAACACGTCCTACATCTGATCATAACATTACTCACTGTGTACTTTCACTACATGTGAGCGATACTAAGAAGACATCTTGGTACTAATGGATATTTAATATCTCACAAAAGTGAAAGGGCGAGCACGAACATCTAACGCTTACCACCGTACTTGGTGGACATGCTGGTTTACCTGGAAGGGAGAGGAGACTGGAAAACCCTTATTATAAACTTATAGTGTACATGACCTACAGAACCCGAACAGATCGAATGACGTATGTACCTGTCTTGTTCATGGGAAACCTGACGCCATTCCAATACCTCATGGATCAGACTTCAAGTCGACGGCTCAACGTGTAGTCCCATAAGACAACCACCTGCTTCGGTCTCGGACACCCAGGCAGTATCGCAGCCCTCGTAAAAACTATGAGATCCCGTGTGGCGCACTTCTATGGTTCAATTAATGTACGAAGTTTGACTTCTAATAGAACAATATATCCTAAGATCATTCTAACGAATTTACTGATTTTCCACAAAAAAATAATAAGAAATTTTAAAATCGAATTCCAATCTTCTACGTTGCTTTTATCAAAACGATGTATGAAAAAATCAAAATAGCCCACGTGAGCATATTTCAGTTAATTTGATTAAAAATCAGCAAACAAAACAAGCTGGTGAATGTGTTACAAAATATCGCCTAAAGGATATAATCTCAGTCACTCTTAACTCTAGTTAAACTTTAGCAGCTTCATGCATTTTTTCAAGTCCGCTATTCAGATCAAAACTACAATCAGTAGTTGTGACAACTAACAGACAATGCCGGTCTTTAATTTTGAAGAAAATAATTGGTGAGTAGGCGTGAATAAAGTGAATAAATTGCCTACAATTATATATAATTAGATCAAATATCAACAAAATTTTGAAAAAGGTTAGCAGAAATGTTCTTCTTCTTTGAAGCAAAAAAATAATACATACCGAGACAAAACCATGACATATTGGCAATTGCAACTGATGGATCCAAAGCAATCAATGCTTTGCAAATACTATGAAAAGCTGCTTTAAACGCAACAAAAGCCAAATGAGTCTGACGATTGAATTCATCCTTTGATAGATTATCACCTGCAGGACATTCTGTAGTAGTCGATGAATATGTAGCATCATTGCTAGGCGTTTGTTTATAAAACTTTGCATAACTATAGGCTTTTTGCGCATGATACGGAAATGCTAGTGAATTAGGCATACTGGCAGGATAATCTGATTTTGGTGATTCACGTAGAATTTTTGACAACAACCATAATTTACTATCATACGGAAGAAATGGTAGTAATATGCCAAATAAACAAACTAACAAACTTAATAGAAATAAAAAACTGTAAAATAGATCATATAGGAGTAAAACGCCAGTTTTACTGTTTGCTGTTTCACTAGCATTATTGACATGGCCAATTTTTAGCGTATCTGAAAAATATAATTTAAAAAAAGACTTTTGAAAAATTTAAACTAAATATTACGGCGGATAACACAATTATTTACTATTGTAATTAATTCCCTATGACGCTTACACTCAAAAAACACTCATATTTATTTATTTAAACGCATAAAAACTTGGTACAATATGGCACTAAGAAAGACGCGCCACACAATAATAATAAAACAACATAGATCAAAAGAAAAAAAGAAAGAAAAGAAAAAATATATAAGTAGAGAACGGATAGAGAACTCCATCTGGAAGGAAAACAGTCATGCTTAACAAGTTCAAACAGTATTCGTTAAGTATCATCGGGAAGGGAAGAAAGAAGGAAATTGCAACACGTACGCCATTGATTACGATTCTTGGCCGTATCCGATAACGTTTCGACCTATCGATTTAAGCTGTCTCTCGGACCCCAACCAGGGAGTCGTGACACACCAACCGATGCTAATCTAGCACAAAAATCCTTCATCTCACGACGCCACGTAATGGACTGACCACCCTTCTGCCTCTTCCATCCCGTCCCAGGGCTAGTGAACAGAGAGCTGTACGGAAGCCTCTGGGATGACATTGTAGCACATTTCCAAGCCACAGAAGCCGGTGTTTCCAGATGACGACATTCAGTGAATGATCTCCAGTGTTCAAATACGCCGCCGAACCTCAGAATTACTCACGCCATCGAACGCAAGAAATCCTGCGGATACAGCGATGATCGAACACGCAGAGTCACCGCACATCCTCAGCTCGGAGAGGCCAGGTTTCACAGGCGTAGAGCAGGGCAGTCCGCACCGAAGCATTGTATACCCGACCTTTGACAGCCAGGTTAACATCGCGACGGCGCCATAGGTGGCTCAAGTTGATGTATGCCACCTTAGCCTTCATTATATAATTGGAAATCTCATCCGTTATCCCTCCGCCAGCACTCACACAACTACCCACGTATACAAACTTATCAACAACTTCAAGTGGTTCATCCGCAAGAGTCAGTGCAGGTACAGGCTCCTGCCAATCTTGTAACAGTGCTTTGCACTTAGACGGCCCAAAGCATATACCATACTTACAGAAACATTCATATATGAGAATAGGACTCATTTTACAAGCCAGTGTGACAGACATAAATATAAGAATAAAACTTGTGCACTGTGGTAGAGTGTAATTCCATTATGGGTAAATTTATAACAGTGTGACAGACGTTATGTAGACATAATAATCTCGATGAAACACTGAAACTATTTGATTGTGAGAGGAAGGCACTGGAATCCAGAACGCGTCTTTCGGCCTATTTCGGACTCGTTACCTAAGTGAGTGATGGTGTTCCCATTGAGGACCGAACTCAGAACTAAACACTCCAAATCAGAAGGCACTGACCTTTACTGTACTGACGATATCTGTAAATCATCTGTCAAGAAGTGAAATTGACAAGAATGTTTTACCTATACACAAATAGACGATTAGACTACCCCTCTACAATTAAACTCGTGATGCAAAAGTCATAAATATACCCAGAGTAAAAATATTTTAAAATAATTGGTTTGGTGAGTTAAGTTTATAAATAAAACACATAAATACGATTGCGTTACACAGAACTAGTCACTGAATTTAAAAAACATTTAATATGTCTACAAGGGTTAAAAAATTTAATCCAAAATCAATTGTATAATGGCGATTTTTACACAATACACTAAGTTTGCATCAGACTTAAGTGATCCGCTAACTAACATCATCTGAAGCCAAGTTAACGAAAATACTTCACCAAAGACTGTCTTCAAAATCTTAGATGAAAGCTATAAATTCTTTGGACAAAATAATGAAAGAATGTTAAGTCGTATAATTATTGCAGATAACTGGAGCACTTATTTCCACGTAAAGAATCAGAATTCTAATTACACGTTCAGTAGTGATGGAATACAAGTCGAAATAAAAAAAGGTGAGAAGTATCAGTATTTCAAGGAATGCTCTAAAATCACAACTACACGATACGAACTTGGATGACACCTTACAAACATTTAAATTTAGCTGCAACAATTCTAGTCTGTGTATTTATTGTAAAATATCATTTGATCAAGCTGAAACATTGATTATTTAAAATAATACTCACTCGGATTTGTTATGGTTTTCTGTACCTTCATCGTGGATGAAAAGTTTGGAAAAACCAAACTTTTTGCACGATCCACTGACAAATAGGCCTTTGAATTCACTGAGTGCTTTTCAGACCCAACTAAATCTCCAATTGCGCGTGATAAAGACGCTGCACGCAGACTGGCAACAGACAATCCCACATCATGGTAACGACTTGGCCAAGTGCTGCACGAATCTGAATCACGACTGGTAACATTTTGAGATGGATTACGTGAAATGGTTGAACATATGTAGTGTTCACCTAATTTAATGAATTTAGAAACGGAACTGTAATAAATGCGAATGCTTATGAGAATAATAAAATGGTATGACATTTTAACTCCGAAACGACATCAAAGAAGAGAGTTAAGCGAAGACTTCTGCGTCGAGGAAGTCATTTTTCTAAAACTGTATGAGTGCTTTTATACTTACGGAAAATGTATAACAACCCATAAGTGTTGAGCGGAATGGGGTGATGATTAATTTATTTTGCTACGTGTGTAGGATAGTACTGAAGGACTGGTCTTTTGGAGCCAACACAAACAGCTTCACAAAACCAAGTAAATTTACGAACACAATGAACAGGCCAAAGCGTCAGTGATCCTGATCATATCATTCTCCCTCCTTTTCACATTCATATATGTTTGTTGTTTCGTGTGTAGGCCCGAGATGATTTGTACAGTTATATGTTGGACTTCACATTTCGCCTTATATGTACCGTTTCCTAGATCATCTGCGTGTGAAAAATTATTGTGAATATGATTTCATCACAAATGAAAACTAATAATAGTTGTACCAGCCGAATGTATTGCACTTTTCTTAAATGAAAGTAGCAAAACTTTCTAATTTATTTAAACTAAGACGTTGTCCCAATAGTTTTTATTCACTTAACTGATTGTTATCGTCTGTTGTAGGAACCATGCACCATTTGATAAATGCGGGCATTCCTGCCTATTCAAAGCTGTAACAGCGACGAAATTAACATATGACGTACGAAATCTCAGGAAATTAGAAAGCAGAAATACAGATACACGCGGAAATTAGTTGAAGTCGCCACACTATAAGAGCAGTGTGAAAATTAAGATCACGATCAATCAAGTGAATAATAACTACCAGTAACTTCCAGAGAATGAGGAATGGAACTTAGGTAGTGTGGCAGAATATAAATATATAATATAATGATTTCATTTGATAGAACACAGTAATGGTGATGACGTCTTCAGCACAATTTATTGCTTATAAACATATCCTATGTTTATGAGTAATAAATAAAATTATTCTCTTATGAAACAGAATTAGGATGAAAATGCAAAATCAAAGTGTAAAATAAGATACACTATTGTAGCCACATAAGTAGCGCTTTTGGAAACTAGTAAACTTGTATATTCATGAAACAATTTCAGTAACACCTCTGAAAAACTCCAAATAAAAACATCAGTGACAACCATATTGTTATCACTCATTGCGCATGTTGCAGAAGAAACTTAGAATCGCACTGTCAAACTGCAATCCATTAACAGCTTGGTAGATTTCAACTGAAAAGCAGCTTAAATAGACTTAGTGGACGCCATTCAAATCCTGAGACGTCTTTAGCTTCTATCTCAGTAAATTTACCACACAGATGCATAACCTCAGCTACTAAAGTCGATGAATACCTGGCTCATTCGGCGGACATATTTCGGGACTATATAAGAATGCAGGATTTTATAATTGAACAAATTATTATTCCACAGCACAAAATGTAATCAAAATAAGCCCATTTTCTCGACGATCTCTTGCACAACACAATGTTTTGCTTAACATCCCTATATTAAACGATACTTCCAATGATCAGCATACATCTACATCCAAATAATTTGATGAGCTTAATAACTCTAGTTGCTGTAAGTTACAAGGGCATCACTGTAGTATGTATGTAGATAAACTGCATTTCTGCTAAGGCTCCACCATCTACACTAAGTTAGTATATAAGATGAACGATCCTTAGTAGATGAAGACAACAAATGCAAGGAAAGAAATATCAGAAAAAGGAGAGAATACCAAATCAACTGAAGTGAAATGAAGAAAAGACCCGAAACAAACAGATAAAAAGGTAATAGAGCAGTGTAAATTACGAATCAAATTACTTACAAAAGGCGGAACCGTCAATGGAGTCGAAGAACTGAACCTTGAAAAAATCCTTGGCAACGTCATCATTCACTGGGATTCTCGAGACCGAAATATCCCTAACAGAGAATTAACACGACTGATACACTTACGTCTTGACAAACTCCCCAGATTTTAGTAAGCCCTTACAAGTTGACAGTGTGTATCTGGACCGAGCAGTAGACAAAACTATTCAAGTTTTAGGATAACAAGTATAGTTATTCTACCTTTAAAACGCAGTGTTCGAGCCGATTTGTTCACTATTAAAACCTCGCATGTGTTGAAATTCCCCTTATCAGATCGATGAAAAAATACATTGGATGGTTTGACAAGTACTTCTCTGCTTGAATCAAGCGTCATTGTAGTCTTCGCAACTCATGTATGTTACTAATCCTGGTTACATCGTAGATTGAGTACTGCTGGTAACGCATATCTTTGTAAAATTGACATTAGTTGAATTTTCCAATATTTCATACTCTATTCAATTGTGGCTCGCTACGTCGCTATTAAGTATTTCTGGGTTCACTTGACCCATTTTACGTATCACTGCAAAAGATTTGACTAGTTTACGGAATTTTCATATAACAGCTTTGTATAAATACAACTAACTTGTGGCAGGCTGTGTCCCTGCTGTTTAAAGGTTTCAACATGATCACTCCTCCTATCTCTTGGTGAACTCTGAGGACGAAGGAGAGGTGGTCAAATCCGAATAGCAAAGAATGACTGGAGGGTGAAACTGAATCTCTGGCGTTATAGCAGTTAGTTCACACACTAGTTGATCTTTAGACATCTCCAAAGAGGACGAGTCATAGATTAGAAATATAATAGCGGAACAACGGCTTCGAATCAGGTACATCTTTAAATAAGTAAAATAATGACTAGGCAACGAATAGGAGTTTGACGGTGATACTATCTTCAAGAAAAGTGTATTAGTTTAGTGAAGGTCACAACGTTGATACAGAGATCACATCCCAAATTGGCAGTTATTTAGACCTGGTCCCTATGTTACTCATGTTGGCGTCTTGTACTTGATGTGGTGGTATTTATTCTGTATTCTGATTCAACTTTTATTAAGTGCCACTGACTATATTTGCCATTATTACAACTACTATAACTATTATGTTCCAGGCTAGGCTTCCAAAATTTTAAGTCATTATGATGCTCAAACTCTTCATTATTTCTTAGAGTTTTATCCCTGGAATCGTATCCACTGATCATCACATGGGCTCGTGCAGATTTTTTATTAGTTTTCAACAAGGTTGTGTACACTTCTAGAGGGAAATAAAGTGCAAACTGCGAGTAGAGCTTGGGTCTTTGCTCATTTGTGTTTTGATTCGCAACCATTAATTGCTATTACTATAATATTTTAACGCTCCTGCTGGAACGTATGACTCCAGATCAGAGCTTTGAAGTTTCGGTAGTAGTCGTTTTTCACGGAATCGGTTAGCTAGACTCACGCCGAGCCCCTCCTCTCTACCAGGCTTGCTACCACCTAACCGAGTTGAAGGGAATGCGTCGACCGGTGATCGAATCGGGACCTGGTTGTCCATAATTTTACCATTTGACCACCGACGCATAACCATTAAGTAGGCATGAACAGAATGTACGCAAAAAATTTGCATTTGAAACGGTAGATAATCGTTTGTTTAGGACAATAGCAATCCATTGAGCCGATTCACCCTTAAACATTTTGTTTTCAGTCTAGAAAACTTTCATGGTAGTTCGTCTTTAGAATGACAAGGCCGTAATATTTACACTTTGTGGTGTATTCCCGTGATTTCTCAGCATTACATTAAACTCAACGCATTTCCGGAGTTACCTAAGCTTATCGGTCTTCCTCCATTAGTTGTCCTCCGATTTTCCGTCACGTCGGGCTTGCTAATTAGACAGGTCTTTTGCTAAGGTGCCGATCTATTGCAGCTGGTGACAATGAAGACACCAGCCTTCCGTCCGTTTTAAGGCTAAGACTCAAACAAGATGGAAAACCTCTAGAAATGTTAGCAATTAAATTTCTGTAACTGGTGAGCCAAATGTGATGGAAACTGATCCAATCCTCCTCTTAAACAGGCTTCTAAAGCCTGGTATTTCAGTGAATCTTCAATCAATAGATACATCGAGACAGACAAAATTTGCCAACCGATAAGAAAGAAATCTCATACACAAGGGGTTACAGCTCAAGTCAAGGAGCTTCAAATCTTCTCTATAATATCTAAATTAAACATCGTCGTGATCGGATACGCAGAGACATCTGAGGTAAGCGTCACTTTGTCCTTTCATTGAGTTCGCTTTCATAGATTTCCGGCTTCTCGCTATTATCCTGAAGCTACATTATGTGCGTTTGTACAACGGCAGGACTCTCTTGAAGCCATGCAGGCGTAGTATCTGACATTCACGTAAATTTATATGTTTATATGAAAATATACATTATTATTATCTATTAAGCTATGGACGTTGCTATATCCACTTAGGGGAGACTCATCGATCTCTACAAGTAAGAGCTTCACAGCATATTCCACAATAAATCACAATGATACTTCCGATAGTTTTCCTCTGTCCTCCTACGAACAGCGAACAATGAAACGATGACTGCCGTACTGATGACTCCCGAGAAAAATACGGAGTTGGGTTTGAGCAGACAACCATGAGTTGATCATTCAATCTTCAACTACATTGACACTCCCCGGCAAAAAACGGATCCATCCCTTTTTTCCATCACGACCAGTACACGCTGACTTGGATGCCATTGCGAGAACCTGGGCCACACGGACAAAGCTGAAATGGAAAACAAACAGAAAAGCCAACACACCACAGGCATACCCACAGCACAATCTCACACATCGAGGACGACCTACATCTTCGAATTAAAGGTGTCCTCTTGACATCTTGCAACACAATTGCCACTTGCTAGAATAACTCTTGCAGAACGCAGCGTGACCATAGCAGCACCCTCTTCACACATCCTCTCGTCTATTCACTACCAATTACCACTGTGATCGCTTGTCACTCATTCTGCCTCAGTTCTAGTAACGGTGACGTATGCAGGCCTCAGTCGTCTACACTCCCGCTCCCCAGCGGGTGGGTACACAGCTAATCATTATCTCCATGTGCATGTAACTCTCAGAACTAGCCTCCCCGGAGTATACGACCCATCTGCTATCTTTAACAGCAATCAATTCATTCACGGGTGTAGAAGACTCAAAACAACTTCAGAAGTAATCACGACGAAAATTTTAACAAAATTATGCAAAACAACAAGATAAGAAAACAACAAGTAAACACAATTAATCCAAAAACATCAATTGATATGACACACCACACATATATACAAACAGCACACATAACATCGCAGATCACGTCTTGATAGAATCCCTTCGAAGAATCGCAGGACTTACACCAGTACGCCTGCAACCTTTCTCAGTTTGACGATTGTGTTGAAGAATGTCCGGACACAAACAAGATTAACCAACAATTACATTAATTGGAACCCACTCAATTACTTAACACAAACATATGTACAATCAATGCATCAAATGTTGTGGATTCTACCCTGACGAGCTACCCTTGAAAACTGTAGGACTTACAGCAGTACGTCTACATTCCTTCTCAGGTTGATGATACAAGTGGAAAGACGTCCGGACACAAACAAAATTAGCCGACAGATAAACGAAAGATGACACCGATTCAGTAAATACAACATGAACATATGTACAAAGCAACACTGAGCACGTTGGGCTGCTCACCGATACACTACCCCTTGAAGAATCGTAGGACTTACAGCAGTACGCCTACAACCCTTCTCAGGTTGAGGCCCTAGGTTGGAAATTCGTTGCAGAGTTTATTTGGTGGCCTTCTACCACCATCTATATCCTCAGCCCTGAACAGTGACACGCCCATGTCATTGTGTCGTAGAATATAGATGACTAACAAACACGACGTATCTGACCAACCAAGCATAGGCACATAGCAACTTACACCAACGATAATAACATTCAAATAGTAACTTGAAACTTGTAAGGCCTTTATTCGCGCAAGCCAGTTTAACAATTACACTGTCATACACAGTCGGCTTATCCGCACTAAACTGACCATTGACATTCGTACTTTCAAACAGACCTATACTAGCATAGTCATAGCACAAAACTCTTGAGTTCACGGACATCCCTTTCACTGTGGATTACAACACCAACGACGGCTGAGAGATACAAGTTGACGAACTTAGTGGTGCATCAGAAGCTGTCGTTGTTCGGCTTTTAGAAGTTTGTCTAACTGCGAGATTACCACCACTGCTGTTTTTTACTATTAGCGCCAGTTCAGCATTAACATCTGTCGATAGGTGGGCTACACGGTAATCAATTACACTGACAGCCTAGCGAGTATCCATACTATATGCCCGCACTAGTAAGTACAAAAACTCATCCATACCCTACTTAGCTCGTGTTCTGTGCGATAAAGAAAGCATTAGGCGTGAAACCTATAATTTATTAAATAGTAGAACAAATTTTTTTGAACTCTTGCGCTACAGGTGTTCAGTTTCTGCGTGAATCATTTTTCCTTAATATTTTGGAAATTAGCCGCTTTCCTCACATTATCCAGTTATCCATGGTCAACAAGGATTGTATTGTATCAACTGGAACAACATATAGCATTCACTCGTGAAATCTACGTCAAGAATCTTCGGATACCCTATCTAACCAAGTGGAACTCAGGACTTTATCCACAGCAAACTGTAAAGGAAAGTCTGACTTTTTATTTTTGCAATACACATCTGTTTATCGTTGTTGTTTTGACAGTGCGTCGGTGGCAGAGTGGTTAGGATTTTCGCCGACCATGCACATGGACCGAGGTTCGAACCCCCGCCGAAGCACACCTGATATCTATGGTCGGCCTGTAAAATTTGGGCTACCGATATCCATGCTGAAAATTCCATACTTGTACCAAAAATACAGTGTGGAATCAAGCTGTAAATCAAAAAAATACTTCGATAATACAGCTATCTTATTTTTATATCCTCAAGACTTTTTTTCCGGAAATTGTGAAGTTTCTTATTTCTGTATTGGTTAAGCCTATCAAACGTGTAAGTACCGTTAAGAGACTGAGATCTAATACTAGTCAGCCATCTGAAGGCCTCAGCTCCGTTGAAAATCCTACACCTTTTACACCAGCCACACCCAGAGTTGTGGTATCTGATATCATGGAGGAATTGACAGAGAATGCGGCTTGTAGCAAAAATGATTTACTGACACTTCAGAAGTCAATAGCAGAACTACAGAGCAAGTTTGACAGCATTATGCCTCTCACGCAACTGTGTGAACCATCACAAAACATCTGTTTTGAATCACTAATCAAATCCGAGCGCATAATTGACTATTTGGCTGAAGAAGCTGTTAAGAGGATTATGTCTTCACATAACGTCTTGGCCTATAACATTCCAGACAGAGAGCCGATTGCCAAACTTAAGAATTCGTGTCTAAAGGCTTGTAATATGTCGTTGACAGAATGTCAGGTTGTGTCTTCGTAAGAAATCTGCAAACCACCCGTGTCCTGTGCTTTTCAAGTTTAGGTCTACTGAAGAAGCCAGGAATTTTCTGAAATCGGGTAAGACAATAGGCTCTTCAACACCATACACTA